AAGGAGGGGCTGCAGTGCAGAGCAGGCACCCTTCAGACCACAGGTGACTTCTGTCTTCCAACCTGCTGATTCTTGTCTGCACTGTGACCTCGCCCGGTGAGCAGGCAGCTACCGCCCTCTTCCAGGTGAGGAGCTGGGCTCCTGCAGGGTGCTGGGTAGGTGCAAGCACAGTAGGGCAGGGAGCACTTCTCGGGCACGCCCTCTGAGCTGTCACCCCATGCAGTCTGCTCACGATGCATTCCTTGCACTTGCTCAAATTCATTTCCTGCCTTCGTTACAAAACCGTCAGGAGGACGGCACGTTGCAAGGCGTAACCGAAGCCTTGGTGCCTACAGGCACGTTGCATCCTGGTTTTGCAAGGGTCCCGCTGTCCCATAGGGCTGGGTACGAGGCAGCCCTGTACCTGACCGACTGGGCTCCAGGGAGGGTCGGTGGTGCTTCCTCCCAGGGCCTTCGGCTCTGACCACTTCTGCTTTCTTGACACCTAATCCCACCCATTTCTGAGCTTCAAGACCAGAGTTTCTTAACCAAGGGGCACAGCAGACTCCACCGCAGTGGTTTAAAAAAGAGACGGATGCCTGTTCTCCACCCCAGAGCTTCTGATTCCACAGCTCTGAGTGGGGTGCAGCCCTGGCTCCCGCCTGCAGCTCAGCAGCTCGGACCACTGCAGTCCCTTCAGAGGGCGCCTTGGGAACATGGATCACATGTTCCATCGCGGGTACCCACGGGCCCTGTGATGCCACCGGCAGCACTTCAGCCCTCAGGGATGTTGCTTCTGAGCGAGGACACTCCAGGCGGCATTGTTCAAAACAAGCAGGGATCAGAAACAGTCTAGTGTCCCCCACCAACAGAATGGGACGGACTGCCTCACAGGTCATGTGGCTGCCGGGACGCTCGGCGGTGGGCAGAGCGGCTGGCTCCCTCTGTGGTGGCAGAAGATGATTTCCACCTCATGCCCACAGCAAAGCTAGCAGGAGGGCGTCCAGGGCTTCAATACAAAGGAACCTACACACACGGGCTTGCAGGGGCATCGGCTACTTCCTGGAGGATCCCCTGGGAGCAGGTGCCTCTGAGGAGGGGACTGAGGGCCACAGGCAGGAGAACCGCCTTTTTGCCAGCCCTCCTCTCGGTCTACGTGAACCCTCTGTCCTGTCTCGTCTCCCTGGTCGCAGCCTGGCTAGCTCTGGGGACGCTGGCCTGGATCTTGGGCCCGTCGCACTCACCATGTGCTCCATGCAGATGCTGATCTCCCCGTCGCTGTAGAAGGCCCCGTAGAAGCCCACGATGTACGGCGAGTTGCACTCATGCAGCACCTGCAGCTCGCGGATGATCTGGTTCCGGATGGCCGGCTTGATCTCCAGGTGAATCAGCTGCAAGGGAGCGGGGAATGGGTTCAAGAGCAGGCCACCAAGCGTGCCGGAAAGCGTGGGGCTTTGGCCCTCGGCCCTCGAGGTGCTCACGGCAGCATTCAAGACCAGCCAGCAATCCGCCCCTAGGTACCTGTCTGCCTAGAATGAAAACACACGTCCATGCTCCCACTTGTACACGCATGTTCACGACAGCATGATTCACAACTACCAGTACGTGAACGCGACCCAAGTGTCTATCAACTGCTCAATGGACAAACACAACGTGGCCCGTCCACACACTGGAATCTCACTCAGCTATGAGGAGGGGGGAGGCGCTGACACTCGCTGTGTGGATGGACCCCGAACACACGAAAAACAGACGCGGAAGCCACACGGTGTGTGAGTCCATCTACATGAATGTCCAGAACAGGCAGGTCCAGACAGAGTGGGCTCATGGCCGTCAAGGTGTCTTTTTGGGGTGACAGGAATGCTCTAAACCTGACAGTGGTTGTGGACGCACAGCGCTGTGAACACGTAAAATCCACTGAGTTACATGCTCACTGTAGAAGGCCCCGTGGGTGAGTTGTCCGGTACGTGAATCCCATCTTAATAAACTAGCAAAAGCCCATCGATGCAGCAAGCACTTTTCACTCGGCTACCGGGGAGCTCTGTTAAGAGCGCCTTCTTCCCACGGCTTCATACTTTCCCAGGACCCCGCCAGGGAACGGCCTGGCAGAAGGGTCCATTACTGCAGCTCTGCCCACCCCAGTCAGGGTGGGGTTCCTCTGGAGCCCTTCCTACCACCGGGCTAAGGACAAGGCAGGAGAGAGCCTCTGGCCACCACCCGAGGATCCTAGCTGCCCCTCCCTTTGAGTTCAAGTCAGCAGCTGGGACTGTCACCAAATTCAACACAACATTTCAACGGGTGAGAAACCAAAGGACCGTCTGGACGCATGAGAAAAGACAGCTGACAAAACTCCAAGGGATGCCCAGCTACAAACCCTAAGCCAGCGAGGACCTGCTGCCCAGTGAGAAAGAGTGGAGGTCGTGGGTCCACGTGCTGGCTACCTGGAATCCCAGGTGCTCCGGCCATCAGTACAAGACAAGAAAAAGATACGATTTCTACCTCTTTGTCGGAGAGGCAGAGCCAGATCACGGGTACCTGAAAATGACTGCCATCAGCTCAACAGACATTTCGCAGTCGCTCACACCCGGGGCCGGCGAAGGGGAGAAAGATGACAAACATGAGCCTGCTCGGAGGACATGTGCCATCAGGAGGGGAGGCGAGCCGGTGAAACCGCCCGAGACAGCGCAGGTGAGCCGAGGGGGAAGCGTGGGGCTCAGGTGGCAATGGGGCCAGCCTTGAAGGATGGTGGGGCACAGGGTATGAGTGAAGCACACCACCTGCTCAGGCCCATGCCGACGACCCCTGTGACCTTGAGCACTGTGTGCCTCCTTGGCCGGGGCCCTCCAGCCCTTAGGGTCCCTTAGGAATTCACTTCTCCGCTCAGCCCAACCTTCAGAGCCGAGCCCCAGCCATGTCCCCAGGACACTGCGCACCCTCCATAACCACCCCAGGGTGGTGACCACGCCAGAACCCCAGCATGTGCTCTCCTCAGGCGGGTGACGGAGACCAGTGCTGTCCAGCACTGTCTCACCATGAACCACCATTCAGTGCCTCACTAATAAAAATAAGCAGGTAAGATGAATTTTTCACATATTCTGTTTAACTTAAAGTAACATATCAAAGACGTACCACTCGACATGTGATCAATGTAGAAACGTTCACGAGACCTTTCTCATTGAAATCTGGTGCGTGATTCTTTGTGCACACGGCACACCTCAGTTCAGACTGCACTCAAAGGCTCGGTAGCCGGGTCTGACCGGGAGCAGCCCTTGACCGAGAACCTGAGAGGAGCCTCAGAGGGAGGGGCAGGGGAGCGAGAGTCCACCAGGCACGAGAGGAGAGGAAGGGTGGACACAGCCGGGTAGAACTGGATGCAATCCCAGTGGCCCTGGAGGCCAGAGTCGGGTGCATGGGGAGTGAGGTCCCAGGAGGTCACAGGCTGCAAGGGAAGGTGTGGCAGAAAGGACGCAGGGGCAGCTGCTGCACGACCTCGGCCTAGCGGGTCCGCTACATGTGGGGCGTGTAAAGCGAGCCTTCTGGACGGACCAGGAGCCAGCACGGAGGCTGTGGAGGGCGCGTTTCTGAGCATGTATGCTCACAATCGACTCTGGTGACAATCCTGGTGACGACCATGGGGGGATGGGGCAGCTGCCCCATTGCACTGAGGACCAAGTTCAGGCTCCGAGACGTGAACTGCTGGCCCCAGGGGCACACAGCTGGGGAGTGGTCAGGTTGGGGTTGGGGCTGGGCTCACAGAGCGCCAGGACCCACACGATTTCACGGTGCCACTCAGAGGCGCGAGCTCCGACGGCTGATCAAGTTGGGGTGGCCCGGGATTTCAATCCAAACGCCAAGCCTGTCGATGAGCTGAAGGCAGTTCCTGCTGCAGGACGGGGAGTCTGAGCTAGCAAGAG